TAGAGATAAGAACACAGCAGGTGACAAAATGAGAAGGGACCAGCTCCTTAATATGAACAAAAATTTTCTGGTGTCATTTTCCACCAAAACACCTTTTTTTTTTTTTTTTTTTTTTTCCAGTGACAGGAACTAGCTTCTTTCCTGAACGAAGCTGCTGACCACTGCGTTTTATTTTTTTTTTTCTCTCTTAGGAAAATCAGATTTTTTTTTTCACCATTTAAAAACCATTTTGTAATTGTTACTGCTAATAAACCTACTGTTGGCTGTGGCACCGTGCATTTTTTCTCACAGTAGATAGATACTATAGCAGAGATCTAAGGGGTCAAATAAAAACAAAAAGAAGTAAAAAAATGCTTGGCAAGTCAGTTTTACACTCATGACCACAAGCTGTGTTATTAACAGTTCACAAGGCTGACTATGCTAATAAAGCCATTAAAAGACAAAAGGAAGAAAAGCTGATGTGCAAAGCTATCAGCAAAGGCATTGGCAACCTACCTGACTGTTGAACTCATTAACAAAGCAAATCTACTTCGCCCTACAGTTTTGAAATCTATATTAGTTTGTAACATTCTTTTGTAAACACAAGCTTGTCTGCAACAGAACCAAAGACAACTAGCTTACTTCCAAATTTTGCCCTTTGCTCCAAAGCTCTTATCTACCTTCTGCTTCTTGCCATCTTTCCGCATATCTGCCAACAGAGAGCAACTTCAGAGCAATCTGCCCACCTTCCCCCCCAAAAAAAAAAAACAAAACAAAACATAAACCTGCACAGCACCGTCCTCTCCCAAAGCCTACCTCTTTTAGAGAGGCAAAAAAGCCCGGAAAAAGAAACCTTCCTACACAGCTCACTGCAAACACCTCACACAGTACACTCCAACACTGAGGTGTTCAACTTCCATTTTTTGGCAACACATTCACAACTGATAGGCCTTCAATTTACATGCAGGTTGGATACATGTTTTGCTTGCACATATCAGGTATTAGAATATTTTGCAACCCCAAATCAGTCAGAATATTCTGCATACTTTACAGTGCAGAAGCACATTGTTAATACTGCAATATTATTACTAATAATGCAATATTGACCTTCTGTGGAAAAGCTATGGTACTTGAGCCTACATCTGAAGTATACTAATTCAGTGGAAGTCTCTAATGAAGAGCAGACTGCCAAGTCAGCTGGACAGGGCAAAACCAAACATTCTCGGGTATCAGCCCAAAAACTATTCCCTTAACAAGAGATTTCCAAGACAGACTACATAGAAGGTAATACTTCCTTGTTACAGAACTTAACAGAGAACGTATTTCTTAGATATGTGAAAGAGCTTCTGTAAACTATGACTTGAGTTTCTTTTAGGCTTGCCAGTATTCCATCATTTGCTCACATTTACAAGATAAATCAAAAATCAACACACAAAAACCCCACACTTGCTGAAACAGAGTTGGAAGTAATTCCACTAATTCTATCGAGTTTTTGCCTCACATTATTTAAGTACTTAAGTATATAAACTCCAAAACTTATATAAAGATATTTTGCAACTTTGGGTACCTATATTTAAATCTGCATTTCCTTCTGCCACAGATATTCATATAGGGTTTTTTATATTGATTTTTTTTTTTCATGACTATGTATGGTACTTCAAGTTTCATAACATTTGCTTGCCTCCCCATTCTTAATATCAAGTCTCTAGTCTGCATTATATTGATATTTAAAAAGGTGCAGCTGTCCTTTCACATTTATAACATCTAAATGTCATAATCTATGGTGAATATTATGAATGAACTACCTAGAGTTTTTCATTTTGATCACAAAAGACAAAGAAATGAATATGAATAAACTGAAGGCACACAAGTAATTTTGCAACAAACCGAACAAGCTGCACCTGGCTATGCACTAAATCATCATCATCTGTTATCAAAAGCTCTATATGTGCATTTCCATATTTATATTTGCATTGGTTGTGGAAAAAAAAAAGCACAATGTTTTATCCCTCTTTTACAACCCTTTCAAGTTCCTATTTTTTCTCATCTACTCTAGTTCTAACAAGGACTGTCTCCTGGTAAGAACTTCTTGGACTTTTGTAAGAGGAAAAAGTTTGGTTAGCACAACACACTAGAAAAAGACACCAGCCAATTAATTACTACCCTTAAAATAACTGTAGTGCTGAAACACTCCAGTCTCACTTTTGGGGACTCCAGTCTCAACAAATTGGGTCCTAGTAGAAAACTTTTATACTCTTCAACTGTGGAAGAAATATAGCATACATCATGTCACTTAAATGGTTTTAACTGATTTCACAGAAGTGAGAAATAGCCTTTTGTCAGCTGACATACGAAGCCTCATGAAGAAATTACAAAAACAGATAGTGATATAATCAGTTTCAACACTGCAGTAAACTTTGCTTATGTTTCTACCAGTTTTGAAAACAAGTGAACTCACATTTCATTTTTGACCTGATCTGTCTTCAGTGCCTTTCACACTGCTTCACTGCTCTTGTCAGTCCCTGAAAAAACAAGTGAAGGACTAATAACACTATTATTAGTGTTACATATACCCCTGGAGTGGGGCTGTATTGGAGAATGGTATGTTTCAATAGCTGATATTTTAATAGTAGTGATTAAATGGCTAGTGTTTCTCCGTACTTCATCTAACTAAACTTTTCCCTTTTACAAAAATCTAAGACGTTGTTACCAGGAGACAGTCCTTGTTAGAACTTGAGTAGATGAGAGTAAGTAGAAACTTAAAAGGGGTGATAGAGGCATTTATTCAAACACTTTTTAAAAAGACTGTTATGAACTGGGAAGGGATTACTGTGGAGGTGTAGACAGACTTTTTTCCAACATTAAATAACCTATCTGTACTACGTGTAGCCTGTGTCTTCAAAAGACAAAAAGGACATGATAAAAAAAACAACATGATAGAGCTTCATTTAAAATACAGTTTATGGTATCACAAACACAAGAAAAAACCTCACTTCAGATACACAGAAATGATTTAACTGACTTGAAGTTCAGCGTTATTGATTTCAGAAAGTAGAGATGCTAAAATTTGTCACATGTTAAAAAGCTATTCCCAAAACACAAATATGCTACCAAATATGCTCAAATTCAAAACTGGCAACCATTCAAAAACAAATTTCTAATTTTTGTTTTTAATAACAATGAAAAAAGAAATCAGTAAACCTTCCTCATGATACAACAGTTCTTGGCCCAGCTCCATTCAAGTGTTCTTACAAACAGTGTTCTTACTGTTAAGCGTTTCCATTCTATATAAATCACTTCTTCCAGATGAAAATTGCTCCACTGAGAAGTTAGATGGGTTTATGTAACTCAAAATAAGGAAGACATAGGAGATTTCTCTAATTTTATACGAATTACAAATATTTACTCCCAGAATACCTTCAAGCAAGCAGCAAAACATAAGCTAGGACATTTCCAGAAAGAGGAATAAAAATGACCTGTTTAATGGCATTAGTCCTTTTTCTTATAACTGGGAAGTAGATAAGCTTTCTAAAACACTATCACATTTGAAAGTATATAGTCAGTATGGTCTTTGATTAAAAAACAACAACAACAACAACAAAAACACTACAGTATCACCAGATTGACCATAGACTCAATAGCTGGTCTCTCAGTATAAGAAAATTTTTTAGTAGTCAGAAGCTTCATAAAAACAACTTATATATTTCCTGGTAAATTGTTTTACTACTAGGAAATTGTTAGCCTGCAGAAGAATTGTCAGTCTTTATACTTCTTGTTTTTGAGAACTTCTGTCATCTATTGTCTAGTTTCTATACGCCTGGAGAAGACAGAACTCTACTTGCTTTATGATTTCTCTTAAATTACATTACAGATAGAGAGGCAGTTGATCAAACGAAATATTGCAACTAAAACAGCAGAGACAAAAGTGTAAGATAGATGTGTGCACCATTAATCTTTCTAACCCCTGAAACATTAAATTAAAATTTTACACAAATCTTACACCTCAGGAATGCTCTACTAATATCCCTCTTGTTCACCTAGGGGCTTCTCACCATCACAGGTCAGAAACCTTTTGCTATAAGCGCCTAGCTGAGGCAAAGGTATTACCTAAATGTCAGCAATGAGCATGATTCTCTTTTGTTTTGTATCAATCTATTCAAAACAATACTCACGTATTAGTAAAAATGAAGTTATTTCAATCAATAACTGATTGTTATTTCAATAGAAATCAACCTTCAAAAAAATGCCCAAACCAACCAAAATACACAATCGAATTTCTTCACATTTAAATTCCTAAAAGAAGTGCATAAAATTGAAAGAAATAAAATACATACAAGTTCCATACTATTGTTATGAATTTATTTTACCTAAGGAACTCAAATTTCATCCAAAGACTTTGAGAGTATTCCACGATTGTGTTGCATTCAAGAAGCATTGATGACAAAGTTCATTAAATTGTCATTTATCTTAATTTTATTATGCAGATATGTCATGAACTTTAATTATTCTAAAGCAAAATTTAGAATTCTTATTTTAATTGTTTTTACATTCCTTTCAAAACAGTCTCATTTTTCTCTATGGTAAATTTGTACCAATACAAGAAGCTTCCTAATTCAATATGTTTTCAGGATTAAAGACAAATGACTTGCATTCATCCAAAATGGTGAAAGTTAAAAATTCAGAGTAAAAATGAAGCCTAAAAGGGAAGTATATTGAAGAACTAACAATTTGCAGTATTTCAGAAAGAACGTATTCAAATATTGTGCTAATAAAGACCAATGAACAATTCCTAATCTCTTGCCTTTTCAGTTTTACCTTTTTGCATTTTATTTGCAAAATAAAACAAAAGCACGCTTAGCAAGGTAAAAAGTTTTTTTTCCCCCCCCTAGCTAATAATCAAATAGTACTTCAAGGAAGGCAGTTCATCAGCTATTTTTTCTTCAATTTTTGTTACTCTAGTTTCTACGGAGACCACGGTGCAATACAAATTTCAAATTAAAACAAAACCAACTGGGCCTTACCTCTGTCACTGAAGTCATCCACAAGAATGATTTCTGCTATCAGGCTGTCTGGAGTGCGGTTGATAATACTGTGTATTGTTCGCAAGAGTGAAGTCCATCCTTCATTATGAAATGGGATAATTATGCTAGTATTTGGTAGCTTTTCCAAGTACACCTTGTGCTTACAGCTGGAGAGAAAAAGAAGAGTTGTGTAAGCATATAGCAAAGTCTGCCTTGGCATATATACCATCACCATCTCTGGAATCAAATCCAACAGTACAATCAAACAATACTTTCATGTGAGAGTAACTAGTTAATTTAAAAAAAAATATTGCAAGCAACATACAATAACTCTGAACAAAGCAAAAAAGGAATTGAAGTTCACTGGCTGGAATTAGATTTCTTTTTCTTCACTGGAATCTTTTTCCTGCAATATTATACTCAGAAGATATATTCTGCAACATTTTTAGAATTCAAATCCGCTTATCAGAAAGATTCCTGATATCTATCATGAAGGAAGATAAAATCTGACATGATCGTTCTTTGTTCATGGCAAACAAAACTTATAAAAGCAGTTTGCTCTACCCAGAGACAAATGCTAGAAACAATTCAGTGTTATTTTCCTGGCTGATACATTGAAAATATGCAACAACATCCACAAGTACAACTCCAACTTCACATCTAGATGTCCAAAATAATTCCTGCTACTATATGTATGTATAGTACAACATAGTTCTGAAAATAGAAGAAAATGTAAACAACCTTTCATTTTGTAAAAAAGCACTGCACCTTCAGCATCTTAACTGAACAGCGTCTAACAACAGTGCTTAAACTTAAACATTTTTAATATTGAAGTGTTTACATATTTGACCAAAATCCATATTCTTTATCTTTAAAAATACTGGTCTTGCAATTCATTAGCTACTAAAATGAAAGAACATATGAGTAATATTTAGGCTACTGAAACTGATAGACTATTGTTCCCCCCCTCCCCCCCCCCCCCCCCAAAAAAAAATCAGTAAATGGTAAAAAAATAAAATAAAATAAAAATGAATTATTACTGCTTCCACAAGACAAAGTCATGCTCAAGGTACCTGTACAAATATAAATTAACTGCTTTGTGATAAATCAAGAACACAAAGCAGATAAACCTTCTGACTTACAACTTCTAGGTCCAAAAATGTACAGATATCTTTGCTGCTCTTCAGAAAGAACTATGCATATCAAACACCGCTGTAAACAACATTAAAACCTACATTTGCAGCTTATTTTGCTTTCTACTTTTCAAATGCCGTCTAGAAATCAGTATTCGCTGTATTTGAAAGTTTTCCTAAAAATAAGATTTATATTTGTCAGCCATTTCTTCCAAAAACATAGCAGCAATGAATTTATTGAGAAACCATTTCCATAAATACATTTTCAAAACCTTTTATTAAGTAATTTACTGGTAGAATGCATATGCGCACTGAGAAAAAGGACAGCTACTCTGCACAAATGTGACAAAGTAAGAATTCTTCTTCTTATCTGTGGGAAGGAGTACAACAAAGGAAGCTCATTACTCATACATAGCTGTTTCAGCTGGCAAATTAAGAAAACCACCTATCAAAACCAACACCTACTGTTGTCAATTGTTTGCTGACTGTGATGCTTGGAGTAGAACAAATGCATGTTATTCTTATGCTTTTCCTGAAAGCAAGATTTTTTTCTTTACCATTTTTAACTCCCGTTAAGTAGGTTTTTAAACTTAAGTTCTTCATCTTTTTGGGGGGAGAAAAACAAAAAACACCACACAAAAGATATACACACCCAATGTCAGAATGTTCTTTCTTTTTAAAAAGTGATGTCCTTCCACAGGGGAACTCAATTACCTTCTTGAATAACACTATGCCTTTTTTCCTGGTTGTACTGAAGTTTGTGTATTGTCGTAGTTAAATACCATAACCTTAAGTCTGCACGGATGGGAAGGTCACTGGATGTGGTATTCTCACCTGTGATTTCAGTGTAATTGCGTATTCTAATTGATAAAAAGGAGAAAAAAAAACATTGATGGACTTAGTTTAAAACTATTTTCATTCTTCCTACAGAATTAATTATTTTACTAGGACTAAAAGAGTTATACTTAGAGTATTAAAGTGAAAGACACTTTAAATTTTCTTAACTTGTCTCCATCTTTCCACTACCTTTGACCTTTCTTCCTCATTTATATTTACTTTTCTTTTGACAGTTTTTGCAAAGGTACCTGGCTATATGTGAACTTATTTCTAATACAAGCCACAAACCACTGAAATGCACTTTTCTTACTTTTCCCCCTCAACAAGCTGGTGAAACTGCCAAATTCATAGAAATGACACCTTAAATTCCATCTTTTTCTATTGTTAAGACAGCCTGTTAGATTTCATAGTGGTGGCCTAGTTGCCTTTTTCAGCAAGTTAAATTCTGTTCATTTTTAGCCTCTTGCTCTCCAACATTAAACTGTAACAGAAGATCAGTACGTTTTAGAAGATGTAACATAGAAATCCATTTTATCTGAGGTTCTACCTAGCATTACCTATAGCAGAGTATTGCTCGTACTGTGCTGAGGACAGATCTGATGGATAGCTGTAACACTCAAGAAAGGCACATGGAATGCAATGAGAATGCAGTTAGACACCCATGGCTGAGCTATCAGATTTACAAAGAGAATCATCAGAGGCCATGTACCATTTGCTTCAAGTCCATCAATGCATTTCTTCACATTTTAGAAGTGATGCCAAATACCCTGGCTGCAATAAGTCTACCTGGAAACATAGACATTGCTTCCTGTCAACCACTGCTAGTCTTTGAAATAACAATCAGATATTTCTTTCTACAAAATACTGGTCATTGCTAGATTGGAGTGAATTCCATAGATGAAACTACACAGAATTTTAGCATTCTAGAATGCTCTGTGATGGAAGGGACCTTTAAATATCATCTATTCCAACCCCCATGCCATGGACAGGAACACCTCCACCTGGACCTCCCAAAGCCCTGTTCAGCCTGGCATTAACCAACTACCAGAGGTGGGGCATCCACAACTTCTCTGGGCAGAGTTATTATATTTCAATTTGTTAGTGATGCCCATCTCAACTATTCCATGTTTTACTGATGAAAATGTTTAAAACCAAGAAGCATTAACAAAATTAACAGACAAAGTACTACAAAAATACATTCATCTTTAACCATACCACTTTTGCATCAATAAGGATTTTTAGAGGCATTCTTTCAACACAAATTTATCATCCAAAATTCAGAGTCCATTTAAAGAGGTCCCGAAAAATTCTGATTGTAATTTCAGACTCACTTTGCTTTATTATTTACTGTTCCAAAGTTCTAAGGTACGTCAATATCAAATTTATTTTTCTGCCAACATCAAATCGTTTTGAATTCAAGAGTATGGGCTTTTTGCTCTCACCAGAATAATCCCATTGCAAGTGTTTTGAGCATTCACCAAGAAACAGACCCCAATTTCAACATGTTTACTTTCCAAAATTAATTTAGTTAATAGCTTACATACCCTGTAGAATGAATGTTTCAAAAGGGAGATTTTGATTCTCCACAGAAAGGGCTCTTGAATTACATTTTCTTGTAAGATTTCAACCTTACCAAAATTTATTAAAAATCAAGTTTTATTGTAGAAAGAAAAAATGTGTCAAAGACTACCATTAACACCCTATTTTAAAAATGTTTAAATAATTTAAATGTTTCATTCTTAAAAGTTTTCAAATTATGGTACATGTGCTAAATGAAAATGAATTGTACTGAAATTTTGCACTGCAATTTCAGTACAAAGTTTTACCAAATTCTTATCCACCTTGAAAACATCTTAGTACTTGCATACATATGGTCTGATTACCAGCCTCAACCTGAACACATCACAACTTATCTGTGCCTTTTCAATGACCGTAGGCTCTATGTAGACTATAAGTGTAATTCAAAATGAATGACAACAGAATTTCCAAACACATTTACTTTAAGGCTTGGGATACTGGGAAAGCCACAAAAGCCTGGAAATAAATCATAAGATTAATATTCAAAAAAGGATAGTAGATTTAAGCAAAATATGCAGTTCAGACAGAGACTTGAAGGTTTGCTCCAAGACCTACTTCAATACAAAAAATAATTTAGAAAGAAAAGAGTACAGAGTTGATGTCAATAAACATTACTTTATGCTCTCTCTTTCATGATCAAATCACAATGCAAAAGATAAATGCAGACATACCACTGTAGAGCTTTTTGTCACATGACATTCTGTTTAATGAATTAAGAACATAAAAAAAGCAAACAATGGGGATCTGAAAAAGGGGAACAACTGCTATGTCTTCCAATTTATTATTTATTTTTTATGCAGGAAGGTGTTATTTTCTATTTTTAAGCTCATTTCCATTGGAATCAGTTTTTGCCCTGGTAGTATTTTCTCCTAGAATAGCATTTAAAAATAAAATATGAGAAGTTTATAGTAACAAAATTGATTTGCATGGTGAATGAAAATGAGGACAGGTCATTTTACTTCTATACCTCGGTTCTAGATACGTTATAAACCAACTAATTTGAATGAAATATATGTTAGCATAAACATACAGTCTCAGAAGAAAACTCACCCATGAAATTAAATAATTTTGGCTATGGGACTGAGGACAGAAAACTACCTGAAATCACTGCAAACTGATTTTTCACTTCAGCTTTGATTGTAAAAAAAAAAAATAAAAAATTATGAAAGTGTTCTCATTAATCAGTCTTGGCTAAAGATGTTTACTCAACGTCACTGCCCATACTGATAAAAGCATAAATATTCAAGGATGCTAAGAGCACATTATTCAACCAGTTTTCCACCATTTTCATTATGTTTTTCCTCACTTTCATCCTTACCTCCACACTTTTGTTTACCCAGATTAAGCTCAAACTGCTCAGTAGAATTTTTATTGTTTAACATTCAAGTAGCATCTAATCACTTTGCTCAGAAACACATTAAGATGTATTTAAGTTATAGGCTCCTGAAAGTTAAATTGCTTACACAACTAATACAGCCTACTCAATGGTTTATAAGAGACTAGTTACAGAACTAGAGGCTTTGTTTTTCAGTGTTTGATTCTGTCATCCAAAAAGTAATCCAAAAGATCCCGATCAGTCTTAACTCATATACATGCTCTGATCTGTAGGTATATGCCAT